AAACAAGGTTTGGGTGAATGACCCGAGTTCAAAGCAGCACTACAGGTCTTCTCCATGAAAGAGAGAAAAAAAACTACCAATCTTGTAAGAAAATTACACACATGCCATCTGGATAATATGACCATGGATGGGGGTGCAGTGGGTTTGCAACTTCACAGATCCACTGTCATGCTCATGTGCAAAAAGACCTGAGTATACCCCAATTACTGCAAAAATAGCTTTGGCAAATGTCTGTGGCCTTGCTGGAGGCAGTGAGAGGGAATAATGGATGTATAAATGCTGGCAGGGTAGTTTTGGGGGAGGTGTGAGCAGGATTGTGCCACGCTGCTCACTGTCATCTTCCTGCTACACTCATCCTTCACCAAATATCATAGAATCATGGAATGGTTTGGATTGGAAGGGAGCTCCCTTTGCAGAGATGCAGAGATACTAAAGATCAATTAGTTCCAACCCCCCTGCCACTGGCAAGGACACTTTCTACTAGACCAGATTGCTCAATGCCCCATCCAACCTGACCTTGAACACTTCCAGGCATGGGGCAGATAAAGCTTCTCTGGGCAACCTGTGACAGTTCCTCACCACCTGCACAGGGAAGAATTTCTATCTAATATTCCATCTAACCCTGCCCTCTGTCATTTTGAAGCTATTTCCCCTTGTCCTGTCACTCCATGCCCTTGTCCAAAGTTTCTCTCCAGCTCTCCTACAGCCTCTTTGGGTACTGGAAGGTGCTCTAAGGTTTACATGAAGACTTCTCTTTTCCAGGCTGAACAATCCCAATTCTCTCAGCCCTTCCTCACGGGAGACATGTTCAATTCCTCTAATCACATTGTGGCCTCCTATGGACTCAGTACAACATGTCCAATATGGTAGGACATGGTGATTTATGGTTGGACTGGAGGATCATAGAGTTCTTTTCCAACCTAAAGGATTCTATAATTCTAAATAAACAGTTTAGCCCCTTGCTATGGAAACCGGTGGGACACACCAAAGTTCTAATCAAATGTGAGAAGTTTGTCCATCAATCACCAGAATTTCACTCTCTGTTTCCAGCAGAGCCCATTTACACAAAGGGAAGAGCAATCCCTTGGCATAGCCCTTGCAAGACCACAGCTCAGAAACCCATTGCTGCCTTTTACCCAGATCCTTGGCCATAAGTCATTTCTGATAGCAGTGCACTGCCATAGATGTTTATAGGAAAACATTAAAGACCTGGTGAGAAAGAAGAAAACAAATTACTTTGTGGAGAACCTTGTGACTCTGCTAAAATACTGTCAGTTATTTATCTGCTGTCAGCAAAGGTTGCACACTGCAATCTTTGGCAGGCTCAGGCTTGGAGAGGATGGAGGGAAGGGACAGGGATCCTATCTGAGGGCCTCTTCTCATACAAAGACATTTTAACACTGCTTTAAAGCAACAATGTCTCTGCTACAGAATGGCACTTTTGATTTTGATGTGGTTCCAAGTGGGCAGGGCCAACATTGGGTTGACTTAGTGGGAGAGGTGTTGGGGCTAACATCATATTTTAGCAGTCCACGAGACGCACCAACATGATGAGGTCAGCATCACTTCGTTCAGAGAGGTTTTCTGTAACAACAGCACGACTTCCCAAAGATTATTTTTTATGGTTTAGCCAAAGGGGATTTTTGCTAGGTGAAGGGGAACACAGGAACATTAAAAAAAAAATACAAATTCTTCCTTTTCTTTTTTTCCCCCCAAATGAAAACCACATGTAAATCATCAGGGTAGACAATGGTCGTTAAGTGTTATTGTATAGGACAATATCTGCAAGCGCTTCGTGCTGGAAGACAAGCAGGATCCCACTGCCAATGTTTTAACACACAAAAACCCCCTCACACATTACAACACTTGGCTAAAATTAGCCTGCTTTACCGAGAGCCTTGCGCTAGGCCCAAGAAGGGGATGCTTTTAACTGCTGATGCCTGAATAAGGCACGCGAAGCCTTCACCTCTAATAAGGCAATGACTGCTTATTTTTGGCTGTGCTGCCCAGCCAAGGGGTTGCTTCCATCCCCTTGTTTTCACCTGTGTCCAGGCTACAGGCTGAGCATGTTTTTCTATTCATCTAATGCTAACCCAGTGTCTTAATTTTCTAATACATACTCATCAATTAAAAATAAACTGTCTTTATTATTCTTTTTTTGATCAGTGAATTTACATAAATCAGTTGCTAAAGCATCCTAACTCTAAAGGGTAGGAGTTCAGCCTGGAAGATTTGCATGCAGCATCCTCAGACGAGGGCAGGCGCTTTCGATTTCCATCGAGAGCCTTGCTGCGCTGGAACTCTAATGGGCTTAGAACAGTAAATTTTGAAGAAACTGATTGCTGCCTCCGCAGCTAGTAAATGCCTGCCTGGACCCAGTGGCATTTGAAAAAAGTGTTTTATCATAAAATTATCCCAGCAGAGTCCATTCTGCAAGATAACATCATCATCATCATCATCATCAGTACTCCATGCAGGACCCAACAGCTCTGGCACAATA